CTGAATTTGAATCACTATCATCCCAAGCAATATATGCTTTCTTCTTGAATTGCTTTTTGCCCTTGTGTTCATCATTTTTCTTGTTTGGGCATTCGGTCTTTATATGCCCTGCTTCACCACAACCAAAACATTTTATATTAATGAAAGAATTTTCTTTTACCTTTCCCTTACCTTTGAAAGGATGTCTTCCTTTTGCTTTCATCATCTTGGTGAACTTCTTTATAAAAAGACTCATCTCTTCTTCATCAATTTCGGAGTCTTCTTCTTCTTCTTTCTTATTTTTGTCTTTTGAAATCTCGGTCTTGAAAGCTAGATTCTTCTTTTGGTATTGACCCTCTTCCTCATTTAGTCTTCCAAGGTCAAGTTCATGCTCCCTAAGCTTTCCAAATAATGCCGCCATAGACATAGTGGCAAGATTTTGTGACTCCGAGATGGCCGTCACCTTTGGTTGCCATTTCCTATCCAGAGATTTCAAAATTTTTACATTTCATTCATCAACATCAAATAATTTACCTAATCCAGTGAGATGATTCACAATATGAGTGAAACGTTTCTGAACGTCGAAAATCATTTCGCCGGGTTGCATCCGGAACATCTCGTATTCTTGGATTAAAGAATTTTTACGTGCTCTTTTGACGTCGTCAGTTCCTTCGTGGGTCACCCTTAGCATTTCCCACATTTCCTGTGCACTTTTACAAACTGAAATTCTATAAAACTCATCAAGGGTTAGAGCAGATGAAATAATGTTTCTAGCCCTAACATCAAATTGTGCTTTTCGACTTTCTTCGGCAGTCCATCTAGAAATAGGTTTAAGAACGTCAACACCGTTCTCAGTAATTTTAGGAATAAATGGACCATTTAAAATTGCGTCCCAAACGCCTCTATCAACAGACTCTAAAAATATTTGCATACGTACTTTCCAAAAAGGATAATTTTGACCCGCAAAAAGTGGGGGTCTGTTGATAGACGCACCTTCGGCAAAAGTTTGATTTTGTCCGGCCATTTTCAAAAAGTTTGAATGACTATCAAAGCAAGCTCGATACCACTTGTTAGAATCGCGCAGCGGAATGTTCGCGTGGTCGGACAAAAACCAAGAGGGGGGTGAATTGGTTTCTTAATAAAAATTAGGTTTTCAAAATTTTCCCCAAATTTTACCGATTAAAAACTGCGTAAATGTAAATAGAGAAGAGTAGAGAAGATTACACAGTAGGTTTATACTGGTTCGGATCAAAAGACCCTACGTCCAGTTGCTAATCACTCAAAAGAGGATTAACGCTGTCACTAAGAACAAATTGTTATAAACAGATTACAAATCAAAGAGATAAAGTAAAGACAACACCTCTCTTGAAATCCACAAGAGATGAAGAACAGACTTTCCCTAGAGACGGCACAGACACACAATCCACTAAGAACTCCACTTAGTGATTCTTATCGCTTCTAGCCTCACACCAGGTTCCAAAAGCCCCCTTTCCTTGCAACAAACAGTTCTCCGGCACTCACAGAGCACTTAACTTTTGTATGGAAAGAGTTGTTCTTCTTTCTCGAGTGCCAAAGCGAGTTTAAGTAGGGAAATTAGGGTTTAGGAATTGGGGTTTTCGAAACTAGGGTTCTTGGTAATTGGGTTTTCGAAAATAGGGTTTGTTTGAAGTTTAAAATCGAAACAGATCTGGAATAATCAATTAAATGGAGTTTTAATCGATTAAAACAGAGCCAAATACGTCGAACCCAAACCTCTCTGGTTTAATCGATTATTTGGTGAAATAATCGATTATCTCGTACGGAACAGTACGAAATAATCGATTATTTTGCTTTTTAATCGATTAAAACAGATGACTTAGTATAGAAAGTGGTTTTCTCATCTGTTTTAATCGATTATTTACCTATATAATCGATTAAAGCCGAGCCTGCATGATAAATTTGAGCATTTTGAAGCTTCTAAGTTATAGACTATGTACCGGCTATCTTAGACTCTATAATTACAGACTCAATCAAACTAAAACAGAGTTATTACAATACAGAAATCATCAATCTTCATTCTTCAATACTCTAAGTCTTTAAGCTCTTGGATCATCATCAAAATCAACATTCTTCATGAACATTATTTGCAACATCAAGTCCTTGAATGTTCAACACAACATTGCTAACTGGATCTCTGATTCAGATGAGACAAAATCCACTAGTGGTTTATGTATTCACACTTGGGGGTGGTGCGATTACATGGAAATCAGCCAGGCAGACAATTATTGCAAGATCAACAATGGAATATGAATTTGTTGCTCTTGATATGGCTGATAGTGAAGTTGAGTGGTTGAAATTTTTTTTAGTAAATATTCCATTAGGAATGAAACCGATCCTGTCTGTATCAATACACTGTGATTATCAATCGATAATAGCTATAACTAAAAATAAGAACTACAATGGAAAAAATAGACATATACAATTGAGACATAATTTAGTGAAACAACTGCTAAAGAATGGAACAATTTCCATTGATCTAGCAGATCCTCTGACAAAACTCTTAGCGAGAAATATGATTTTAGAAACATCGAGGGGAATGAGACTTAAGCAACTTGCAAACAAACAGGTAATGGTAACCCAACCTTTGTGATTGGAGATCCCATGAATAAGGTTCATATGGGTAAAAACAAGTTACTTGTTAGTTCTGCTAGCACTAAAATTGATTAAAATCAATTATGTCTATTCCTATGGTGTATATGTGAAAGTGCTAAATACTGCATCATTGAGAGGTTAAACTTTGTAATTAAAATTCTATGTGGTGTACGAATTTTAGTCTAAACAAAGTTTTTAACGATTTCATATCCCTTAAGGGTGGTGTATGATTTGAAGCATACGCTTGATGAAGTCACCTATATGAGTGTCGAGTGGGGCCGCTTGTATGAGATCTTTGCATGATTTCTATAACACTCATGAATATCGGACACACGCATGACCTAATAAGCGCAACACAGCGATAACAACAAGAATTGTGAGGGTGTATTGTGATTGTTAAAACCGCTAACACACATTAAGTGTTTTGGTTCATATAGCTTGCTACACCAACTACACTGTGTGTTAAGTTTTTCAATCTAAGACTGGTTCATATAGCTTGTTATACTAATTCTGATACATTACATCTTATATGAGACCCAGGATTTTCTTCTTTTATTCTTTTATCTTTTTTTTTCAATATGTGAGGATTATTGTAAATTAAGGGGTATTGCAAAACATAGAAATTGTTCCCACAAGTTATAGAGACCATTTTAGAGGACGTGTTCTCACACGTTGTAGAAGATCGTTTCAGAGAACGTTACAGACCCACTACCAAGTCTTCCCATAACTGCTACAAACTTTCTCGTATAAATAAAGATCACTTCACACCCTTTAGAGACACACCTCTTTCATCTTCTTTTCTCTAATTTTCTTTCTGTCATCCTGGGTAAATTTTCTCTTTTGAGATTTTCTTGCTAGTTTATGAGATCCTCGGATATTCTGAGAAGTTACTGTTGTATCCTGGAGGACTTGCGCAATACACCGCAGATAAGTCCTTAAGGGCAGTGCTTGTACACGCCTCAGAAATAAAGTTTGTTTATATCTCTGCTTTTACAACAACATTTGTCGTGCTATCTATCACAATGTTTCAGTCGTTCTACAACATTTGTCATATCATTGCGTTCGTCACACCATTATATTTGTCGTGTCACACCATTGTCTTTCAGTTACACCATAGTGTTTGACGCGTTTTAATTGCGTAACAATATTTATTGGGTCATCACGTCGTTGCATTTTAGTCACACGATTCAATCATACTTATTAGAAAAAAAAAATTGAATAACAACAAAAAAAATGTGGGTTGACTCACCATAAAGTGGGAGCTTATATATTTTGAGTTTAATCTATGATGAGTTAATCGGTATAAATCATACATCTAATTTTATTCTTGATGACGAGTTATATATTAATTTTATGTAATTTATCTTTATTTTTATTTTCCAGCAATTCATTTTACTAATATTTTTATCTTTGTTGCATCTATCTTTAAATGTTATAATTTATATTAAAAATCTAAATTCTATGTGCAATATCGCTAATAGAAATTCTACATTGAGTGAATTGAAAAACGTTTACAGTCAAAATTAAAAAAAAATGCACATAATAATTAAAATGGTTTATCGCATAAATATTTGAATAAAAAATAATTAATTAAACAACGAATATTTTACACGCCTAAATAAAAAACGCCCTGTGAATATGTATATATTAAATATTATATATATAGAAAATAGAATTCAAATTAAAATTTAATGATAAAATAACTTGAGTGGTAAATAAAATTACATAAGTCTATTTGAATAATTATTAAAAAAATATTATTTACGAAAAAATATCGAGTAAGGTAAGAGTAAAAAATAGTTGGGATGGATGCGCGAGGAAAATAGCTGTCTCTGTTTCGTCACGTTGGCGCCAGCTATGACGCGTTGTCATTAAGCCTTCAAAAAATCAAACTTTCCAATTAATTACTCTATTCCAGTGCACCCTAGCACGTTTTCTTCCACAACCTACCCCACATTTTTTCTATAAAAGCTAGCTCTCACCTCTTGGAAAACCTTCTTCGGATAACCTTTTTCACCTTCCCCCAATTCTTATACCCACCCCGAATCTCGCTTTCTTCATATCTCTTTTTTCAATCCCCGGTTTCCCTACTCCTTTTTCTGTCTTCATAAACCATATCCTGTCTTCGATCTAGGTCTTCTGTTTCACCTTGTTCCGAATCAAATGTTTACGGAATTTCTATGACCCTGGCTAACCCCATGCGTCGAATCCGTCTCCTCCACTCCTTCTCCGTCGTCTTCCTCTACTGGTTCTACGTCTTCTCATGAACTCCCTCTCAATTCCTTAATATCTCCATCTTCCCCTTTTTTTTTTCTCAAATTTCTAACAATTAATTAGATATTCAAAACCCTAATTCCCTAATATCAACAATACCACCAAATTCGAATTCGATGGCTTCGATTCAGCGTCCTGCGAGCTCAGGATCGTCGGAGGGAGGAGGTCCGGCGGTGGACGAGAGGAAGAGGAAGCGAATGGAGTCGAATCGCGAATCGGCTCGGAGATCGCGCATGCGGAAGCAGAAGCAGCTGGAAAACTTAACCGAAGAAGCGAGCCGGTTGCAAAGCGATAACGCGAGTCTGGCGCAGAGCATAAAGGTGAAGGAGGAAGCGTACGTTGAGATGGAAGCCGCCAACGACATCCTCAGAGCTCAGACAATGGAACTCGCTGATCGGTTGCGGTTTCTGAATTCAATTCTCGAGATCGCTGAAGAGGTCGGCGATCTCTCCGTCGAGATCCCGCAGATTCCGGACACTCTCTTCAAGCCCTGGCAAATCCCCCACCCTATGATGGCGTCGCCGGACATGTTCCTCCATGGAATTCAAGGACTGTTTGCTTCATAATTTAATTAGGATTTCATGTGCTTAGATTTAATTATCAATGGTGTTTGCCAATAAACTAAAGGAATGGTGGTGTTTATGAGTGATAGTGTGTTGGTGTGGTTTTAATTTAGATCTGTGTTATAGGGTCCTTCGTTTTGTGATCTTAGAGTTTCGTTTATTGCTGAATGCATCTTATTTGTCGTGCAGTATTTCTTGTGTATTGATATTGTCTTTAAAATTATAAATGGAAGGACGATGGATTTAGAAAATAGTGATTTAGTTTAGAGGTTCTTTGTCATGAATTGTGGTTGTAATTTACTGACTTTTAGGCCTGAGTTTGAAAAGAGGATTTTTTTTTTTAAATATATACTGTTTTATTTATTCAAATTAAATAAACTAAAACGATTAATTAATTTGTAATTTAAAAAGTATATATGTATAATATGATTATAATGTATTTAAAATTAACTTATAATTAATTATAATATATTTAAAATTATCTTTATAAGAATGTGAATGTTTTTATTATGTCAATTAGTTGAAGTTTGACATCTATAATAACATTATGTGTTTTTATAATCATTGTATGATAATTTTTAATGAGTTGATAATATAAATTGTAAGATAATTTTTAATGATTTGATAATATAAAATTTTTATTTTATTATCAACTGTATATCAAATAATTTTTTAATAATAATTAAAAAGTAACATATCTAAAAATGTATTAGAAAGACAAAAAATTAGAAAAGAAAAAAAATCACCAAAATTCATTTAAACTACCAAAATCCACTTAAATAACAAGTTTTAAAAAGGTAAATCAAAATTATTTTTAAAACTTTACATCGTTAAAATAATTAATAAAAAACAATATTAATTGATCATTAATAAGTCTATACACAAATTATTATAATTTATTATATTAAATAACGGATTATGTCATGTTTATCCAATTAGATAAAAGAATCAACTATGCATAATACAGACTGATAAAATTAATAATCCTAAAATTAAAATTAATCCAATTAAATTTAATTATTTATATCACATTTTATTGTAAGTGTCCAAAATAATATATTACTAAACATAATTAATTTTTCAATATAATCAAATATATGGTTAAATAGTTGTTTATGCTAGGTTATTTTTAAATTGAAAAAACTCATCCATAAATTAAGTTTATATATTATCACGTTTTTTTGCTTTGCGTTACTATTTTCAAATTAATTTAAAAAAAACACGAGTTTAATTAGAATGTATTGATAGTTTGTATATTTTTATATTGTCATTAAATACAAATTATCATATATATAATATTTTTTAACAGTTACGCTAAGCATAATTTTTAATTGATTGATAAGATTAAAATCTTTAGAATGTTATAAGAAATATAAACTTCAATGTTATTAAATAATATTAATAATTAAAATTTATATTTCAAGAATTAATAAAATATAAAGAGAAACCTTCGTTGTCAGTGCGTGATAAAGAATTATTTCATTAGATATCACAAATAAAATAAAAATAGAAATTATAAAAATAAACTAGTCTCATATTGATAAATTGTTAGTATGGATTTATTTGCTGTTAACTAAGTAGTTAATATTATAGGTATAATTTTAAAAATGTTTTCTAAAAAATATAATTATTGTTTCATTGACTGTGTACGTTTTCTTTTAGAATATTATTATTATTTTAACTAAATTCTAAATAATTTAGTTATGGGATTATGGCAAGATGCATAAATTTTATGTTGCTAATTTCATGTAGTTTATTGTTAAAAAAAATGATATCTTTTGTGTGTTTAAGTTTTAAATATAAATTGGCTTAAACAATCATTTGCGTTTGAATTTATAAACAGTTTATTTTTAATTAAAACTGGCTACTTTTTGCACTCCTAATTTAAAAAATAGTTCACTCTTAATTCTTAGAAAAATATCACAAAATAAAAAATTTAAAGACCAAACGTTGATTATTTTCAGATTAAAAAGAAAAAACTAATTACTTTTAAATTTTGCAGATAAAAATGTATTTATCTCTAAAGTCTTAAGTTTAAATACAAAGTAAATAAATTAATGTAATAATATTTAAGAAAAATAAAATAAAAACTAGATATTTTATGTTTAATCCAGAGAATAGATGTTAATTTTATCTAATTGGAAGTTGAAAATTAATAAATTATTGTCTAATGCATAGTATGTTCAAATCATGCATGTATCCATCCATTCTTGGTACATTTGTTCACTGCTAATTCAACTATACGCGGATGTTTAGCGTAGTGTTTGTTTTAATGTTCGACAAAAATAAAAATCGGGGAGAAATTTAATTTAATTTAAACAAACAATAATGCAGTCAAAATAGACACTTTCTCTTCGAGATGAGTAGTAATTATATATATATATATATATATATATATATATATATATATATATATATATATAATAAGGAAAATCCAGAGCAATATGTTTTTTAAAGCCAATCACACAACGTTTCGTCTTGAACGGTAGTATACTTTAGTAATAACTAAAGTGACTGAAAAAATATAAATCAAACACAGTAAATTTCCATGACTTGGTTGGTTGATTTCTCAACAACCAAACTTTCCAAAACCATTAACAAAACAAATCAAAGAAAGAAAGTGACATTTTTTTTAAGTCTAACACTTTAGTAAAAGTCATGGAATATTCCTTATTCCATGCTTTATATTGCGTGCTAGGGTATCTTTTTGAGTTGATTCCGATTATTCCTTTACTCGATGTTTTGCAATGTAATACCCTCGAAGGTTCGCGCGTGATTTATCAAGTAGTATGAGATGTCGTATTTGCAAGATCTTTTCCAAGTGAGGTGTCGTTTTGATTATAAAAAATGTCACCAACCACTTTGCGTTCCGTAGTTGATATGTTCACTTTCCATCCATGGTTGCCGAAATTGACCTGCCAACTTTTCCTTGTTGCCCGGCGACGATGAATGTTGCCCTCGCTGCGTCTGGTTAACAAATTATATTTATCAATTTCATTCATATGGCGTACTCTAATTTAAAACTAAGCAACACTTTCATTTCTTTCAAACTTTAGGTGACCAAAAAAATTAATAATATGAGTATGATTGGGCATCATTTGTTTAATGGACTAAAGTATTGTGCGTATATTTGTCGTAATTAAACAGTGAAATATTAATAAATACTGTGCCAAAATGAATTTACCGACTCATTTACGAAGTAAGGGATGGGGCGATTCAGATGGGCTAGCCCGGTGTAGGAACCCAACATAGGCCAGTTTTTAACAAGGTGAAAATGGGCTCAACGGTTGTTTAGACATAGATTAATCAAAGAAACATGGCTCCCTCTCTTACTAAAATATGGTTAATTCTTTCTCTATCCTAATAATTTTTTTTATTCTCGTAATTAAAATAAATTTTATATTTACTTTTGTATTTATCTTCTTCCCTACACTTCCTTATTTCTACTTTTTCTGTAAATCATAGATCTTTCTCAAATTTTTTAAATCGTCCTAGTCATTCACTATTATTTTAAGGGATTCATTGTATAAAAAGATTCTAAACCGTTTTTAATCTCTTATTTTTTTTCACATTGCAAAAATGAACACATATTCATAAACACCTCATATTTTTAAATTGCTTAATTATTGTGAAACTTATTTTTGAATTATATTTTTTAGAAATGTATTTTGGATTGTTGAATCCATCATACAATTTTAGAAAATAAAATTTTAGAAAATACAATTTGAAAATGTTTTTCAACCGTAGAATTTGGAATACAATTCTAAAATAAACAATCCAAAAACTTTTCGAACAGGCTAATCAATAAAAATTTTCAAAATTATTTTCTGAAAATATATTCCAGCTTCAATAATTCAAAATATCACAAATATATGTTATCCTATGCGTTTTTTATACTATTTTCGGATATATGATATGTTATATGATTCAAAACATAAGTAACTAATAAATTTATAAATTGAGAATGAAAATAAAGATTTTAAATGAATGTGTAAGAAATAGAGATGTAATTATGTAAGTATATTGGACGAAAAAAAGAAAGTGTATTTCAATAACAAAATATTTTAATATTTTTTTATGTTATGTAATGTAAGAAAGAGTTGAAAAATCATAAATTAATAATATAATAATAATATTATTTTGAATTATCAATATCAATCAATCATCTGTTCATATTAAAAAATGCTGTTTATAAAAAAAATAATTTAACATTTTTTTCTATACAACTATTAACAACTCCTTTATATAATATAATAATAATAATAATAATAATAATAATATATTATATTATTATAAGTGAATTATCAAATAATTATGAAAAAATATATTTTAATAATTTTTTTATAAAAACATACAGATGACAATTTAAAATAATAATATTTTGATTTATGGACAGAGAAAAAAAAAGATAAATAATAATATAAAAATTTAAAAATAAATTTCTAAATAGTTGTTTTTGTCTTTTTCAACGTCAAAATATCATCGGAAAAAAAAAATACTATTAGTTGTTGAGAAAGTTAGATATGTTTCTAAAACCCTGTCCTGCCATCTATAAAATGGCAAATAACCCGAGACACAGAATTAGTGAATCTAAAAGCATGTGGACAGAAACAGAGGTATAGAATTAATAATTAGATTAAGTGTGAGAGATTTGCATACGTAAGAGTTGCACCTCTCAGCATCTAACCGAACAACACAGATAGAAATATGGATAGGAGGAGCAGAATGAAGAATATTTAAGTTTGAATTATGCATCTAAATAAGAATTAATTAATAGAAGGTGTCTCATACATGTAACACAAGCTAAGCTAACTTAATTATCATATGTGCGGCACTCATCGGTTTCCGGGTTATCCTTGCAGTAGTTCTCCAGTGGGTCAGCCTGCTTCTGCTTCTCTCTCGCGTGGCTCGCCGCCGCGCTCAGCTCCTCCACCTCATCCCACGCCGCCGCACATTCCGCGTCACCCCCACCTCCGGAGCACGTCTCCTCCGCGCTCTTTATGCTCTCCTCCACCTTGTCCGATATCTTCTCCGGCGTTGCGCGAATGGGCCAGTTCTTCGCCACCCCAACCAACCCGGGCCACTTTTGTATGGGCCTAGAGAGCGGAAAGCTAATTGCCTGGGCCTTTTGCGCTGAGTCCGATCCCTTGGCATTAGCAAATACTCTGGCAGGGCTTGAAAGACTGACACCACCAGCTATTGTTGCCATTTTCCTTTTCCTCTTTTGTCAGCTCAAATGCGTTACTACGGAAGTGTTGTAGTGACGAGGTTCTGTGAGGGGATAGCGAGGGATATGGTGAGATTTATATAACCAATGCTGCTCAATATTTGTGTACGCATATTACTTATCTTGTCACAACCACTTGTTGCCTTCCACGTCCAACACTTAACATGTTCTTGTTTTTTAGCACAACAGATATTTTCATTTTGGTAAGCACACATGCACGGACATTGCTAATTTCTCTACCTTTTTGGAACCTGTTGTGTTTGGTTTCGTCTTTTGATAAGGAGGTTGTAGAATTTTTGGGCTGCTCATAAAAATAAAATCTTGATATTTTGGTGCTCCTGGGGGATTTATGTTTGGACGCCAAAATATCAGTCGCTAATTGACACGATCTCGTATTTTAGCCAACCAGATGTTCTGATATTTGCTTTAAAATATTACTAACAAAATAGTTAGAAACGTAGTCTATCTAAATCTATGGCGTGTTCGTTCAAAATGTAAACTCTTTTTTTTTTTTTTTTCTTTTCTGGGACAAGTTTGCAGCATTTATCCACTCTTTGAGAGACGGTCATTGAGATTGTCCTCAGCGAGAGAGAATTATGTGACTTTGGAAAATATATACTCTTCAAATTAAAAGTTGGATTTTCTTTATGATAAAATATCTCCATAGAAGTGAGAATGGTGCTGGATTTCTCAGGGTGCTACCCGCAATATTTATAATTTTAATCTTAAAAATTAATAATTATTAAATATTTTTATTTATATATTTATAATTTTAATTTTCTATTCATAAATATTAAAATAAACTATTAAATATATTTAATAAAAAAGTATTTTATATCCTCTTACGTTTTCATGATAGGTTATTTAGTCCTAAAATGATTAGTGATGATCCGGTCATGAAAATTTTCTTTTAGTTGAGGGGTATAATAAAAAATATTTTTTGAGGTAAACAAAAATTCTTATAATATATATATATATATATATATATATATATATATAATTTTTTTTTTTAAATTTTATTTTACATAGTCAAATTTGTAATATAAAATTTATTTTTAACATTACGTTAGAAATGTTACCAAAATCTCATATTAATTAAAAATATGATAATATTATAATATATAGAAAATTTAAATCTTATTTTTATTAAATCAGTTTTATAAAATTAAATTAAGTAATTTTTTATATTTTAAACTAAATAGTTATAATTTACAAATTTTAGGTTAAAGTAATGACTTTTTCTTTCGGATTTTATAGATATAAAACAAGTAAATTTCGGTTGTTTGTATTCGTACAATAATTATAACTTATGTATTTACAATGTAACAGGAAAATATAAACGAATACCAAAATATAATTTTTGTAAAACTAGAGTACCAAAAGTAGTAAAGTGATCTGGAAAAGTAAATTAAGAGAAGTGTAAATTTAGACATAAGTATAATGAAGTGTAAATGATAACACCGTGAAGATAAATCAGATAAAACATGAGATTAAACTAGTGATAATAAATAAAGTACTTCTATTTATAAACTCTCTTTGCCAATTATTAACTCTTGATAGTGACGAGTTATCTAAATATTCATGTATTTTATACTCGTTTAATATTTGATTTTCGTTTTATCAACTATTTTATTACTGATGTGATTTTTGATCGAATGTATTCAAAAATTTAAATTTAAATAAATTTATTAACACTTCAACAAAGTCCTCGCATTTATTTTTGTTTGAAAAAATTGTCAACCTCCTGTTTTTATTTTCATCCGTATCGGACTTTTCATTTTCATCGATAACACTCATAGTAAAAAGTTAGTTAAATTATATCATTTCGTAAAAGTTAATTTATTATATTACTTAAAATAAATCAAGTATACGAAATTTCATACAATTTCATTATTATTTAAATTTTATTATATTATTTAATTTTAATTTTAATATATAATATGATATTAAAAGATATGTAAATATTACTTTATTTTATAATATATCCGTACAAATTTAAATTAGGTGAAATTTGATACATGTAACCATCAACATAATATATTTCATTGATTTGTATTCTATAAAAATTATTAAAGATGTAATTTAACCAAATTTGATATAATGTAAACACCTTCTCCATCTATCTATATGATAGATATAGATTTAAATTAATTTTCAATTTGTTTATTTTTTATTTATAATTTTAATTCCTCGAATATTTTTAGATATTTAAAATTTTTCGATAAAAAAATATTATTTCACTCTTTCTCTTTCTAAAAATATTTCAAAAACTCCTTTTCTCTAAGATAGAAAACTTTATGTCCAGGAAGATATTCAAATCTCCAAAACGTACAATCCTCTTTTGAGCTCTTATAATATTTTTAAGAGACAAAGTCCACCCTTAGATATATTTCTCGACTTATCTTTACCAAAAGACCTCAAGTCAAGGAGTATGTCTAATCCTCCAAGATGGACCAGTGTACCCTTGCCTTCACCACAAAAAAACAGTACGTCAACATTGAGATTCTCAAGGATCTCATAAGGTACTGACAAAATGAAGGATACGCTCATCTCTACTACGAGGCTATACGATTAGTCATTTCCCTCCATGGAAGACGGGGACTACCCATCTCAGCAAGAGTTTCTCTCTTAAACTCTAGCTACCTCTACTATGAACATGCTGTTATCGGCATTGTTCTAATTACTCTCCATCATGCTGGGAGTGTAGTTCTAACCATCTTTCTTAACTTTAATGTTAGCTTGAAAGATCCCACCATCTCTTAAAGATTAAAGGTTCAGATCCAGATCACTAGAGCTGAGTGCACTATCAGATTATTTACAGGCTGCAAGATCATGTTACAAATCTTGCGTTACCTTCCTGTAAAGACAAAACACTTTTCGTCTTGGCAAACAACCAAGATGAGACACCTTCCATAGTTTAGATCCCTAGAAACATCTTTCAACAAGAGTTGTAGAAGATGATTTCGATGCAGTGGGTGACCAACTATGAAAAGCTCCACGTCAACTAGAAGCCTATCCATTTTACTGAGGCAACTTTCAGAAGATCCGCAGACAACATAGTCAAGACCATCTTCAAAAATCTTGAAGATGTTCCCAGTTTGAGCACCTTGATCTTCCAGTCCATGATGATAGCGTCGGTCACCAAAGAAGGCAAGATCTCCATTACCAGTGTGTACGCTGACGACAAGCCTATCTTCACAGATAAGATAGGAGGACACGTCATTTGGGATGCAAACCCAGATATGTGCAATTTCGACTGTGATTGTTACGACTACACTAGAGACACCAGTGATGAGGAGAGCGATGCCTCAGACAATGAAGATGATGATTACAGAGGAGGATCCGGTAAACCTCCCTTCTCTCCTAGCAGAAGATTTGAACAAGTAAAAGGTCCTTGGATAGGACTCCATGGCCAAGAGAAGCCAGATCCCTCTTGGAAATACTAGTTATGTGCTGAGATTCTTAAAGAGGAACGTCTCCTCTTCCCGAAACAGGAAAGGTGTAGAACCTTTGCCATATCACCTCCTCTTACTCCTTCCATCCCATGCATGATAATCAACCCGACTGCGTACAAAGAAGAATTTCCTCCTTTAGAGAGGAACGTTGATCCCATGTCCAAGACAACTAAACCACACGTTGTTGGACAGAAAGTTGGCCCTGATGGGAAGTCGAAACCCTTTAGCCAGGCTGAAGAAATACTCAACTGGCAAACAGAAAATGTTAGAGCCTATAACTTTATCCTGCAATGGATAGACCAGAAAATAGACAAGATCTCTACTCACCTTGAAGAGACTGATGACAAACTCCAGTATCTCAACTCCAATATGAGGAAGTATTATAAGCAACTTTCTTCAGAGCTCTCAAGGCTAGAAGAAGATTGGAAAAACACCATTTTTGAAGAGCTATCTCACGCCAAGGAAAAAAAGATCAGAAGGCTCAAGGCCCAAATATAGGAGATGGACAACTACATTGAGACGAAAGTCAAACAACAGAAACACATAGAAAGATCCTTGTTCTTCCTTGTTTACTTCACCTCCAGTCTACTCCTCTTTCCAGAGCCCGACCTACTCATCTTTCCAGAATCTGTCTCCATACTTACGACCATCATTACAAACCTCTTGGTCATTACTTACAACCACTGCTTACAGGCCACGACCTAGACCAGCAACACCAAAACCAAACCAAGGCAAGAAGGTTGTCACACCTTCTTCGAATCTTCCTTTAAAGATCTACCTTTGTAACATCCTAATTCTTAGTACCTTTAAAAATTTTGTCAAAATTTTAATAATTAAATTATTAGGAATTGGGGAAAGTGACTATAGAGTTTTATGTTTGTTAGATTATTTGTGATTTTTCGAATTAAAAAAAAAATTTAAAAAAATAATAATAATAAAATAATAATATATATAAAAAAATAAGAATTTGACTTTCAAAAAGACATACACTCTCTGCAACTTCCGTAAGTTCTTCCCTTCTCCCATTTTCTCACTTTCTCTCAAACCCTCCTCAATTTGAAGCTTAATTTTGAAGGGAAAATATTGATTTTCTTGAGAAGCTCCAAGAGGTAAGTTTGTTTCTCTCAATCTTCTCTACATTTCTACGGTTTTATTTTTCAAAACGGTGCAATTTCAATTTTTTCCTCATTTGGCTAAGCTTGAATGGGAGTAGAAAGAGTATTATTGTAGGTTTTATACCTAGGATACTAGAATAATGCTTAGAATTGAGGATTAGAAGTGGTTAAACTAAAAAGCTTAAGAACCCTAATTCGTAGGTCACTGTTTATTGAATTTTGGGACGTTTGTGAACAGAATTAGGAATTGGTATCTTCATGAAAGTTGTAGCCCTTTAAGTTATAGAAATTTAGAAACTTGTTTCACATCAAACGGATATTTGTAGCTCAAGTTATGTTCATTTTACTGTCAAGTGCTATAGCTGTGAAGTTAAGAGGTTGCCCTGTTTCAACAGCCTCGGTTTTTGAATTA